CCACGACGGCCGCCTGCAAAGGATCACTATCAAAGCCCTACGGTCACGACAAGTGCTGCCATCCCGTCATCACTGCATCCTGCGATGGCCAGTTTAAACCCTAAACCCTAAACCCTAAACTCTAAACACTTTGAGCTCACCTCTGGTTAAACCGACTCAGGCGGCTAGCGCCTGCTAGCACCCACCAGGTCACTTGCCATCGAACTGCACTACTTCCCTGGCCCCAAACCTATTCCGAAAATCCGACGGTCCGGAACGGATCTCGGCCTGAGGATCGGTAGCTGCAACTTGGGCCTCGGGTTTTACGGTTTAGGGCATATCAGATCACAGTCAGTTCGATGGGGCGGATTGTCCGGGTACGACGGGTGTTGTGTACCAGAAGGCTCCTGTAGGGGAACTTCTTGCAAAGTCTCACCGGAGCTCCTTTCCTGTAGCACTTGGGACACCAGGAGGGGCACGATGTTATGATAAACACACAAAAGATCTCCCGGACGGCAACACTGCAATAAGCTCGGCCAGGCCGTCACGACGCCCGAATGACATCCCATGTTGAACTCTTTGAGTCTGCGTCATAAAACACTCTACTTCTACTTCATCATGCAAACATGAACTTCGGTCGAACCGAGCGCTCCCCGGATTGCCTCTCAGGCCCTGTATCACATGTCTTCAAACCCGGAATCCGAGCTCGAACTTAGCCTTTTCAACTTTGTATCCCTGAGGATACATGTACAGCACGTCGCTCACAGAAAGTGCGAGGACGAGCACGTCGCAGCCAGACGTCCGTGTTTTTCTCTGTGCATGACTACATGGGCGGGTGCTCCTGCCTCTGGTGAGTCTGTGAGTACGCAGGTTGCACAAGACCGGGATTTTCGCGTATGTTGGTACGTATTGTGTTCGTTCGTTCTTCCGTTCATGCTATGCTGACACTCCTTCCCTCCTGTGAAATCATGTTTCCAATCTTCTCCTTGCCTTCAGGTCCTTCTGTTGCAAGCTCTGGCCTGTCTATGACGGAAACCTTGTTTGGCAAGCAAGGCCTGGATTGCCGTGTGTTGCGGCAAGCTGTTCATGAATTGCAATTTCAGGTCTTGTGTTGCAGCAAGCTACTGGGAAATTACCGTTTGCAGGGTCTGCAGCAGGCGACCAGGGTGCACAGTCTGGGGCAGAGGAGTCAGCGAACGGAAGAGAACAAATACCACCGAAACCTGGATACTAGATCGACTGGAACAGACGTGCTCTTGACCGAACAAGCAAACTCATGCACACTGATTGCAGGGGGTTCCATCGCGGCTACGCCACTACGAACGCAGCAGGCTCGTGGTAATCACCAGCGAGAACATCAACAAGGAATATTCATTGAGGATCTCAGAAGCACTTCTGCACAAAGACAACGACGGTATCACAATGATCCTTGACGAGGCCCATGCTCGATTGACAAAAAGCCGTGCAGCCCACGGCAACGATTTCTGTACCGACAAGATTGCTCAAATTAAGACCCGGACGCGCTGAACCGAAGCCTGCAACCACAAGCCTACAAAAACCGAAACCCGAGCTTCAGAACTGGAGTTTAGGGTGTAGGGTTTAGGGTTTAGGGTTTAGGAATTTAACTTTCGTTCTCCAAGCGGCGATGGCCCCGAGGTCACCCGATTCCACAGCACGGCGGACGGCGCGGGGGGCAGGCCGTGTGCTGGGCAGCGCCTCTGGGCCTCTCAAGTAGGGTTTAGGGTTTAGGGTTTAGGGTTTAGGGTTTAGGGTTTAGGCGTTAAGGTGAATGTAGGGGCCTTCATAATTAGAATAAGGTTTTGGGGCTCCTTCTTGTAACTACAGTATGGTACCAAACCTTATTCTAATTATTAGGGCCCCTATAATAGCTACAGCATGTGGGGTTTCGCGTTTAGGATTGCATTATCCCTCCTACTAAGCAGGTCTAGGATTTCGAATGAAGGGATGGCGCTTTCGACTGTCACTCTCGCACGCAGCAGGCAAGGATCCTGAAATCGATTGCGCTTTAGGTTCTGGGGCGTGTGCGGTTTAGGGGGGCGTTTGCGAGATCTCGACGATTCGAGGACTTGCTGGCTTAAACTCCTGGAACTCTGAGAAGCCTCTAAAGCGGAGTGGCGGTCACGGGTCGGTAATGTTGTCAATAATGGCACCTATATGCACTGATACTCATGATATCTCAATATTAGGTGAAATATTTCGTGAAGAAGGTGACGATAGCGCTGAGGATGCTGCAGGCATTGGGCCTGCGACGAAGGCATATCAAGATTGTAGAATCAGAGGCTTTCCTTGCAGCACCTTTCCACATGGGTCCAAACAGCGAGGATTCCATGAGCAAGCTCTCCTGTTCCGACGCCAATCAGGCCTAATCAAAGGAGGTTCAATCGACCAAAGAGGTTGGAGTTCTTGGGCTCAGGGCGCACCTGCCTCCGCGGCTCAAGATCCGATCCCAAAAGCATGACAGGGCAAGATAAGGTACAACAGTTTACTACCACAGTCAGGCATTCCCGACCAGCCACGACATGAAAGAACCGCTTTCCCGTTCTTGCTGAAGCAAGACTCGGAGTAACGGCAGGTATGCCCTTAACCAACCCCAAGGCACGCCCCCACACCACGTAGCGCTGCCTCGCGCCAAGGTCGCGCGGCGCCGTGCGGCAACACCGGCAACGGCTCCGGCAGTCAAAAACCTCGAACCAGGGAATCGAAACATCGGTGTCTCAGCTCAAGTGGAAGACAAGGAAAAGAAAGTACTCGGCTCGTTCGTGCCGATTGAAAGCGAGACTTCTGCAGCACTGCCGATCGGGGATAGTAAACGTTTGATCACCAGTTTAGGAGACAGAGCATGCAAAGTGGCATAGACAGATGACGGGAGAGACAAAGAGAGAGAGAGAGAGAGACAGACTGAAAACGCAAGTATCACAATTGCATACGGACCAGTATGACACACGCACAACCAAGTACGCAACTCTGAAGTCTATCGAGCAGGCGGCGTCCAGGAGTGGGAGGCTCCTTTGTGCTGCGCTGGCACCGTGGGCTCTTGCGTTGCACCTCCTGCCAGTCGCTTGCTCAGGATCTGTTGGGATCTCGGGGCATAGCATGATCTAGTATAGCATATGGTAAGGTAGAGAGTATAGCAGAGTATAGTATCGCCATCATACAGCAATAGCAGAGCCGACTGTAAGATGATACTCCCACTGTCATGCAGAATGCAGGCGTCAACGCACAAACCCTTTTTGCAACTGGCTTGCAACGTCACGCCAGGACAGTGCCCCTAAACCCTAAACCCTAAACACCACAATTCGAAATGCAAGGGGGCCTCTGAGGGACCTGGGCAGTGTTTTCTCAATGCCGTCGCTCGAGGAAGGTGCCAGAAATGCCCAGGAAGCCAACCCTGGCACGGCCGCCGCGGCAACTGCGCCACCGGCGGCCGAGCCCAGGAGCCTGGGCTAGGGTTTAGGGTTTAGGGTTTAGGGTTTAAGATACCATCATAAGGAAGCCATATTCTGTACAATAGATCCCTATTCATGGTACCTTGAATTAAGCTCATGCTCTTTACTATAGATCCCTATGCAGGTACTTTGAATTAAACTCATCTTCTTTACTCTACTAGATCCCTACCAGGTACCTTTAACTAAGTTCCCTAGCAAGAGCCCAGAAGCAGGCGAGTAGAACGCACGTTCTCCCGAGAGGATCCTGGGAGCAGGACAACCACAGTCGTCTGATCAGCGATTCACAGGGTCTTTTGGGTTTAGGGTTTAGGGTTTAGGGTTTCGGGTTTTGGGTTTAGGGTTTAGGGTTTAGGGTTTAGGGTTTAGGGTCTTTTGGGTTCCCTGTTGGGGCTATGTTGAAAATGATCATGTTTAATCCTTGTTGTGTTTTATTGTGACGCAAATGTAAAATTGTAGCCAATAAGGACCCAGGTTTTTGGTTCCGGGTTTGCCAGTGCAAGGGGCGGTTGATATTTTACATATGTGTACTACAATCCTGGGCCACAATGTGAAAACTTCTCGTCAGATGCAGGATTCACAGAATATCGGATTGTTCCACTGCAAAGTCAACATTAGCACGGTCTTGAACTGCAATGCTGACGCCGATTTCACAAACTAGGTTAGACCGAGGCAACGAATCTGCGCTGATGTAGAAGCCTAAATAATTACCAATATTTACCAATACTGTTTGGGGGGTTTCTTATTATAATTACTATTCTAGGTAATAAGGCCCCTACATTAAGCCGTCCACTCCGAAACCCAAGCTCTCTGGAAAGCCCCACGGCTGTCACTTTGCACGTCCAAGATTCCGGACTGGTTGCAAAATCTCGAAGGCATCTTTAGGAAGATCTCAAAGTGCTGCACACCCTTTCCTTAGCTCTGGAGAGCCAGGTTCCGGGAGTCGGGAGAGCCCAGCTCTTATGGCTCAAAAATCTCTATTCCCATAGTTTGGAGGTGTTGGGCTCTCTGCATGACACCTGAGTCCGAGTCCTCGCGCAGCTCAGAGAAGCAGTTTCATCCCAGATGTGCCAAGGGTCTTAAAAATCAAGAAGCTGCTCAGCCACACGGCAATGCACAGCTACGATACAAAGGATGCTCTGACTGCCTTCGGGTCACTTGAGCCCAATTGCGAGACGCTCTGGCGTGTATTCGTTGTAAACTTTTAGAACTTTAACCACCTGTTCAAGGCATGTCTCAGCAAGTCTCGTGCTCACTTCAAGGCGGCACGACAAGAAGTGCACTATCAGCAGTTTTGTTGGCGTTACGGTTTCAGATCCTTTCGCTTTGGTCGAAGCACTGCTGTGCACTGCCAACCACGACCACAAATGCATAGTCGTTCCATTTATGACCCATGAAGGCATGGCTTTCCTGCATGCGCTTTTGGTGCCAATCGTTTCAAACAGGGCGCTGTGCAAACAAAGGACTATGTAACGGCACTGTCCAGCAGCGGCACTTGTAAGGAATCCTCTTCACTCCAAGCTACTGCAAGAGCTTACAGCACATGCATCACCGAGCCTGCATCGTTATCGCCTCTGCGAAGCACAGATGAAATGCCCTCCAGTGCCAAAGCCCGCACGTACTCGTCGTGGTCCCCGACACTGAGCGGCAATGCTGACTGGAACATGTGAGAATTGATGGATCACTTAAGGTTCCTGCGGCAGACTCTCGTAGCTGAAACCGTCATGCGAGTTTAAGATCTAGGGCTCCATACCCGCATTCGCACAAGTTATGCCAGGCATTGAGTGTACGGCGCAGGGCCCCCGAGCGCAGAGCGAAAAATGCCAATCACAAGCATCCACACCTCTTTGACAGATGGCGGCTGAAGAGGTCGTAGCACAGCTTGACCTACGGATCTCAAAATCTGTGCCTGGTCTAAACCTGTAGTACTTAGCCACATTATCAGCATTATCAATACCTACCGTAGGGTAGCCATACCTAGCGTAGGGTAGCCTTGTAGCACCTTTACCAGCGACCCTATGTGGCGACCCTTGTTATTAATTAGTGCAACTGCATGCTACCCATATCCTAACTGTCCTAAATTTTGAGCACTCGCACTCGCGTATCCCACCCTTACAGCACTCTGAAAGTAAGCTTATAGTGACCCTTTTAATAAGCCTATACTGACTATGTTCCCTAGAGCCATGCCCCTCCCGGCCTCCTCTGCGTCTGCCCTGCCAAATACCGCCAGAGCAATGTGCATCAAGGCCTGCAAACTGCAAACGGTTCTTCTCTCGTGCTACCGTCTAGTCTAGTGCGGTTCAGTGCTGGAAAGTGGGTACAGTAGGCTTAGGGCTTTGAGTTTTGGGCTTGGCCATGAGGCGCTACATTGACTTCGATCGCAAGCAAGCCTGAAACAAAGGCTTCTTGTTCGCTTAGCCACCCTGAAGCCTGCGAAAACCCCCACAACCTTGTCGTTGTGAAACCCGTCCTAAGCTTGGAACTCTTATAAACCCTGATAAACCTGCATAAAACCTCATATAAACCACTGCAAACGCTTTAAAAAAAAATCAGCTTCACCAACCCCTACGTGGTTCCTCCACGGCATCGTAACGCAGCTGTGGATTCACATCGCTGATGAGCCGCTGCAAGCCTGGGAGCGTGCGAATGTCCAGCCCGTCTATTCATTTGCCTGGCCTGGTGGAGGTCGCCGAAAAGTTCGCATAAGTAAACTTATCTGAGTTCATTTACTTTCCTTAACCTGAAAACCCACAAACTGCTACGCTGGCGCACAAGGGTGATGATCCGTAAAAGTTGAGGGACCTCGGAATCACAATCTCTCGTGTGGAGGGCCAGATCAACTTCAAGCTGAGCCTGTGCAATTTTGAAGTAATGTAGGGGCCTTAATAGTTCGAACAGGGTTTTGGGGCTCCTTATTATAATTATAGTACAATACAGTATAATATGCCCCCAAACCCTATTCTAAATACTAAGGGCCCTTTAGTACTTGTACATATCTTTACGGGCACTTTTCATCCACACGTGAATCCGTAGCCCTGGATGATCCAAAGCCCAAGCCAAGTCAAGATGTCCATGCGCTGTGGTCGTTTGGGCGCCGCACCCTCCATCGCACCCAAGCCATTCCCATGCCGGGCTTGTTGCACGAGATCTTCCCATGCAGCCATCACGTCGCCAAGGGCTGCGACCGGCTCGATTGATCTGCTATTCCCGCAGAAGCTCTTTGGTGTGGGGTAAAGAACTTATGAAACACATATCCGGGCACATCCATATTCCATGTTCTATCCATATCGAGTGCTTTTCAAGTAGGCTTGCATAGGGGACTGGTGACATAGCATGACTACCTTCCTTGCAAGGCTTGTGTCTCCCTTCCTTCCTGCTTGTAGCCAAAGCTGGCAAACTGCTCTTGGCACCATCGAAAGCATTCATTTGACGAGCTTTAGTGTGGGACCCTTTCCATTTCAGTCTGTACTGTAGTAGCAAATAATGCAGTAAAGACACAGGAAAACATAAACCCTAATGCATTCAAAGTGATTACAAGAGAAGGACTGTAGATATGAACATTTAGTAAAATAAGCATTAAAAATGATGGATAATAACAATAAGTGCATGGGCCGGGTTTGAATATTACTAATAGCAGCTGCACATGGTGGCGTTAACTGTGGTGTGGAACTATCGGCGTATGCATTATATCTTTTGTGGTACTTGTAGACTTGTAGTACTTGCAGTACTTGCAGTACTTGCAGTAGTAGCAGTACTGGTACTCGTCGTCGGCGTTATCGTAGGAGTAGCAGCGCCGATGCCAGGCCCGGCTGCAGGAGCCAGAACAAGAGATCTGAAGGGTTAAAGCCGTGCGCATTTGCTCCAGGAGCGCAGGCTTCTCCGGAGCCATTTCGGTCGCAGGGCCTGTGATCCGGCCCGAATGAGATGTTGCGGAAATCCTTGCACGAGCAAACACATGTAAGGTTGTAGCTACGGCGGCTCTTGGCAGATCACTTCCACATTGAGGTTCGCCTGCTCGTGCCCAGTGCTCATGTCGTAGCTTCAAGACCACTGCTGTCCGGACCATGGCATTTGAGGTGTTTGATGCCTTGGCTCAGCGTGCAACTTCCGCTGCCTCATGTTCATCGGCATAGCTACTGGGAAAAACGATTGCTAACACTTCCAGCCACTGCGCTGAAACACATCAAGTTCATAATGCCTGATGTTGCAAGCCTGAAGAGTTGTTCAAGGCACGTCAAAAAGTCAACCTGAAAGTAACTAGCAGCGTACGAGCAGACTGCATAAAACAGAGACTGCCCTTTCTCGCTGCGCACTCGGGAGTCACAGTTCGAGACCTTGGCTTGCGAACTGGGCGATGGAATTTTCGGGTTGCTCGAAACCTGGCATGCAAATGAGGAATTCTCGAAATCAAGGTCCCCCTTTCAGGGTACCTTTTTATAAAGGTGCCGTGCTCTATAAGGGAACCTAGAGAATTTAGAGAACTACCCAAAATACCACCGGACATGAAGCTACGACAGGAGATTGCAGGCGGCCAAGCAGCTCTCGGGTTGCGGCACCTCTGTTCCAGCTGACTTGCAGGCCTCGTACTCCACTGCCTGAATCTCTGCACGGTTAAGGGTTTCGACTCGCACACTAGCACAAGGCAGGCATGGTTAAGGGTTTAGGGGCATACAAGCACCATGGCGAGCATTTCTCAGCCAATCGAAGCTCTTGCTCACTGCTTGACAGCACATGCAAGCAATCTGGCCCAAGCCTGAACGTAGGGATGCCGAAAGCAACCTCAGTCGCGCAATCAGCATGACCACTCAGGAACAGGGAACTGGTCGTAGAGTTGTAGCTGCTAGCCTCAGACTGTGTCAATCTCTTGAGACAGAACCACAGTCCGACCAAAACCGGATTGGAAAAAGGATCCCTAAACCCTAAACCTACACCCTTTTTGCACCTGGACTATGCATAAACCTAAACCACTGCAGAAAAGCTCATCCTTCATTGGAGCCCGAGCCCGGAACTTTCGAAATCCTCACAGAGGTTCAAGAGATTCTGCAAGAGATCACGCACCTGGCGCTCTGTCGGTGGCGAAGAGGGGTTTTCTCAGGCTGTTGCAAGGAGTTACACTCAAGTTCTCAAGTCCGGGTTCGAGCAATCAGCAAAACTGCAAGAGCAGCTTCAACAAAGACTCGGCGTCCAGGGATGATAAAGGTTCGTGCCGTTTCAGTACGGATTGTTTCGGCCCCCATCCTCTCTTAAGACGGGAAGACAAGAAGAAATCGGCTGGTGGCAAACCGAATTTCCGCTGCACGCAAGCTAGTTTCAAGCCACTCGCAACGAAACGAGATTACCCGGAGTACCCAGAAAGCCCCCAGAAAGCCCAACATTCTGGTACTTGAAAGCAGAGTATCTCCATGAAGTATGCAACTTGTCATGTTTTGAGGGTGTTTAGGGGTATTAGGCTCGTTGGGGCACCCTATTCTATTCATATTATTCAGACCAGCCTGCAGTCTGTATGTGGTTTTTCAGCCTATGCCTGCGACAACCACGGCCGCATCGACGATTTCTAGGCATTTGAGGGCCAGAACATTGATGAACTCCAAACCAGACATCGGGACAGCTTCTAGATTTCAGGAATGCTTCTCTTGCACAAATTCCCAAGCTGCCCACCTCCTCACAGGCTGCTGTGTGCTTGAACCGCATGATCACATGCCAGTCGAAGTCATCAATCACCTCAGCAGCTGGGGTTTACGATCCCGGATTTAAGGTGTGGGCACATCGAAACTTTCAGACGATAGCCTGCCTCCTCAGGTCCAAAATCTTCACGTAACTTGGCAACGGCGTCAGCATGCCATGCAACATCCGATGCCTCAGGGCCCGAAGGATTAGCCAGTGACAATCACAAATGCTCGTGCCTCCCAGTGGAGACGCAACCTGAGCGCGGCCACATGCGAAGTTCAAGGTATCGCATCAAAGCTGACAGGGAAATAGCTTTTCCTCAGGAACTGACATCAGCGTCGGCGCGATGTGACCGCGATCCTCGCCAAAAGCTTTAGTTGCATAGGGTCGAATTGAATCAAGTTTGGCTCTGCATTGTGAGAACGGGCCTGGGAGGCTTGCAAAGCTGCAGTGGTGCCACAAGCCTTGCATCACAAACTATAGATGTCAACGTTGCTAACATCCGTACACAGAAATTACTGAGCCCTCTAGGCACCTTATCGGAGTCAACGCGAAGGAGTTGTGAACCATGCACCTCCCGCGAGTCTGCCGGGTCTTCCGGGAATCGTGTGACTGATACTAGCGCGATGGCAGAAATGATCAGCAAACTGCCGGTGTAGAAGATCCAACCTCTTGAAAAAAAGGCGTGGCATCTGCCCAGACGACATGGTACACGCCATGCTCATCTGGCCCATACTGGACCTTGAGCACGAAAGACCGCACCGCACAGCAGCGTTGAAAGGTGCTCAAAAAGGCCTCTGCATCGAACCAGCACTCCTGCATCACCAAGTGCTATAGACTCCAAACACATCGCACGAAGCCTCCTTGCACATGCTGTTTCACGAGCGCCTTGATGCTGGGATTGCATGGCTCCGCAACGCCGTCTCCGAAGTCAACCTGGCTGTTCGCGCCGCATCAGCAGTTGCATGACATGCCAAAGTACTGCAGGGGCCTCAATGGTTACTAATACTATTATGGGGGTTCCTTATTATAAATATAGTAAAATGGGCAACAACACTTGCGGACCTCCCCAGCGAAGTATGCCCACACCTGCTCGCCACCCTGGCATGGCTCGGCCTGCGAGCACTTGTGGATGCGCAACAATGAACAAGCGGCTCTGCATGATCCCGCGCTCAGCACGTGGCCGGGTCTGCAGGGGCTGACGTGGCGCAAATGACAACCCATGCCACCGAACAGCTGAATCGCATCTCACGCAAGCACATGCTCGACTGGCATCCGGAACCAAGGTTTGTGAGATTTACGCGAGTTGCCGCCACTGCTGTGTGGCAGTTTTGTGCAGCTCAGAGTGTGCACGCGTGGGTTGACCCACGGGTGCAGCCACGACATCGATGCCCGGCATGAGGCCTGGCACACCGTCGAGGCACGCCTCCGCGATGGTTATGTCTTTTCTCCCGCACCTGGAATTGCCTGCGATTTTTTCTTGACCGCCACCTTTTTGCACCAGCGACAAACTCCGGATCAGCTCGGTCCCGGAGTAGGGCCGGCCGGTGTGGCAGCTCCACGCTCGCGCCATCGGCATCAACAAGGTCACCCGGCCGCGGGACGAGGCGAAGCGCCACACCGCCATGAGGAGCACGGGCCAGTCCGTGCTCGTAGTGCTGGAATCGCACCCTGAGAATGCGGCTCCACCCCGTTTGGCCGTGCGCATTAGGAGCTGGGTGGTTTTTTTTTCCACGCGCCTTTTTACGACTGCAAGAGGAGTCCCAGCTCCGTCTACAATTAGCCACCTACTGCCTACTGCTGGTCGCCGCGAAAATCGGCCAAGACCTCGTGCAGCTCTGGTACGGGTCCCTCGCCGAGCTCGGCGGCAGGCGGCGGCTCGAGGAGTGAGGCCGCGTAGGCGCTGGGAGGCGACAACCAAGAGCCCCCACCAGCACGAGATCCAGGCGACAGTTGCGGAGGGCTGCAAGTGCGCAGGGACGGCGGCGGCCCGGTGTCGTGCGAGGAGGCGCAGCAGCAGCAGTACGGTCTCGGCACCGAACCTGCCACCAACCGCAAGCCCAACGACAACCAGGCGGCAGCGCCGTGCATGCTCGAGCTCGGGGTAGGTCTGATGCCGCTTGCGCCGGGCCGCTGCGGTGACGGCGATCCCCGGCTGGACATCGGCATCCGGGTGGGGCTCGCCGCGCCGTGTGAGGGGGCAGACGATGGTGGCGTCCAGGGCGAGCTGTGAGCCATGCCACAAAGGGAGGCCGTTGGCGACGACCTCAATGCGCCGTTCGTCCGAGACCGGCACGTGAGGTTCATATCCGCAAGCCGGACGTGGCAGGCGACCGGGCGCCGGCCTCACGACAGACTCGCGCGACGGCATGCTCAAGGGGCAGTGCGCGCGTGGCGAGGACACCCGAGGTAGCACAAGCTGAGCGGTGGTCGCCGAGTGGATCAAGCTCACAGGCGGCGCAGCAGGAGGACCCGGAACTTCGCGCTGGGTATGGAGATCTCGTCGCGGGTGGGAAGGACGTTCAAGGCTCGGGCGGCGAAGGGCCCGGCCCTGAACTTAAGGCCCCGGATCGCGGGAGGCTTCTGATTCTCCAACGCGCTGGGGAGGGGGTGCGGCAGCAGTGCCGGCGCATACGGCTGCCCAGTCAGGAGTGTCACAGCCGCGAGCGCGCAGATGCGCCTGCGCACGGACGGCGGCTGCGGTCGAGGGGAGGGCGCTGTCGCCGCGGAGGGCACCAAGCAGCCGGTCCGCCGCAGCCGGGGCAGGGGCATGGATGATGGGCAAGGGATCGCACCACGAGGCCCAATGCGCGGCAAAGCGATCGGAGGTGGCAGAGCGGAGGCCAAGACCCCCGAACCGCTGCGCGAGCTGGGCAGTGCGGAGGCTGTGATCCGGCAGGGGGCGGTTTCGTGCTCAAGGGGTGTGGCCAGGCACTGGGCGACGGCTGCATCGTGTGCTGCTGCATAAATGGCGGTGAGGTGGGGGGGCAAGATGCGCAGCAGGTAGCGGGGCGGTGCTGGACTGTAGCAACAGCCAAGCGGCCTGCAAGTCGTCGAGCCCAGGGCGACGGTGGAGAAGTCGGTCGTGGTCCTCGCGCTTGCGCTCCAGGTGCCTGGCGACAAAAGCGTCGTGCCCGAGGAGGAACCGAGCACGGTGATCGCTTGGCACTCTGGTGGGAGAGGCCAGTCCCCGACCCAGACTGGCTCGGCGCCGTCATCTCCACTCAGGTCGGCGATGTGGCTTCGGAGTTCCAGATCCGTGTTTTGCCTTCACGGAGACGAATCCGCGCACGGTGCCATCGGGTGCCGAAACGACCTAAACGTCGTCCAGGAAGGGGGTGTCAGCAAATACCAATTGCACGTGCGAAAGCGGGGTCGTCAGGTTCTCCGACGCATGCACGAATTCGGCATCGTTGCAGGCAGGCCGCACCACGCCGTGGGCACGGAACGCACGCACAGCCTGAACTGCAATTGTATGTCTGCCGTACGCTTCGTGTCATGGCCAGTGCAGGCGTATAGCTTCCAGGATCCACGAAGCACGAGAGAGTGCGGTTTGGCGAACTCTTTGCTGCAAGCCACAGCTGAGGGCGTCAGCGTCCGTGGGAGTCGCCTTCGGCTTCCGCCAATGCATGTAACAGGATTAGCAGGCTAAAAAAAATTGAATGCGACTGACGTGGGTGAACGAATCGTGGCTGTGGGTAGCAGCTCTAGTGGTGGCTGGAGGCGGCAGGCAACTTCCTCCGACATAGCAGAAAAAACAGAGGAATGTTTGCGTTGGTTAATTGATCGTGTATACGGTGGGCAATGAGTTGTCATGAACTATCAAAAACTTCGACTAGAGCTGTGCCGCAGATTGCTCAGAGCAACACCCTGGCCTAGCTGATGTGTTGTTGCAGCTGCTTCAGCTTCCGCCTCCAACACAAAATAAGCAGGTAAGGATTGTCTTTGAATGCGATTTGCAAGGGTGTAGCTGCCAAATTACCGCCACGCCGGTCCTTGAGCGCGATGCCCGTGACGTCCCAAAAACTGAGAGCCTCTCTTCCTGAAGATTGCCCCGGCTCTGAAAAACGACGCCTTGTTTCTTTTTTTTGTACCAGCTACGTACATCCAGAATCCAGGCCTGTACAGCTTGTGCAGTACGTCTTAATCGGGTCCACAGTGCTCATGCAAGATAGGCCCCGACAGCAGCAAGCAAGTGTGGTCTGATCCGAAGCCGTAACCAGAAAAGGGAACCAACTTTTCTCGCGGTCCCAGTGTTGGGCTGCTGAGGCTCAGCGAGCCGGCACAAGCGGGCACGAGTCGTGCAAGACGTCCTGCAGCGGTGCCTGTGGCCAGGCATGGGGGCGGTGATGGGCAGACCCGAGGAAATGGCAGCTAACGTGTTTCGCACAGCGACACTGAGCAAGCCCCACCACCGCCTGTACCAGCCCGGCAGCTCCCCGTAGCGGAGCAGGGGCTCGCAGGGCACGCAAGTTGACAAGCAGAGCGACGAGTCGGAGCGACTCGTTCCAACGCCCACGAATCTCGCATGCAAGCGCGCACAGCCTCTGCGGTCCTCGCCGGACCAGCTCAGGTGGCCAGCGTGCTTGCGGCGTTCGGCTCGCGAAAGTAGGTAGCCGCGGGAACCGTGATGTTGCCATGCCAGGCACCTTCGCCAGGTTCAGGTAGGTCGCAACGTGCACACCATGTGGATATCGTGCCAGGAAGGGCGGCCTTGCCATGCCTTGCCATCCGGCAGCGCGGCAGCAGCAGCCGGACCTGCAGCGAGTTCCGCGAGGCACTTGGTGGCGGCGTCGGGCATCACACCCGCCAAACGTGTTGTAATCAAGTGCTCCTGGCCTGCCCTGATTGTCAGCTCCAATGCACCCTGCACCGCGACATCCGACTGCGCAATGGAGCGACCTTGCTCGTGCTCACGCGGAAGTCCTTCAATCCAAAGCTGGCCACCCAGAAAACGAGTCAATCCCAACACCACCCATTGTCGCTCCAAAAATTGCCATCACGATGGGATCGGAACACCCGGTTGATGGCCAGGCTAATCGAAACGAATTTATTTCCCCCACGGACTCTTCGGGCGATCCACGCGCAGCCCCAGTGCACCGGAAAGCTACGGCACTGCAGAGAGGCTGCGACGGCTCAGCGAGCCGGCAGGCAGTTGGTTACGGGCGGGCACGTGTCGTGCAAAACGTCCTGCAGAAGAGTTGCCTGCGCGACAGGCACACAGGCGGAGACCCGAGCAAAGTGGCAGCAAGCGTGGTCTGCGCAGCCACACTGAGTGGGCCCGACACCGCGTGTACCAGCCCTGGGTGGCAGCTCCTGGGAGCGGAGCAGGAGCTCGCAAGGCACGCGAACGGACGAGCTGCGCGACGAGGCGGAACGACTCGTCGTTCCAACGTCCGCCGGTTTCGCATGCGAGCACGCACAGCTCTGCGGTCCGAGGGAGATCGGGGTAGGCAGCGCACTTGCGTCGTTCAAGCGATGGCTACGGCAGCACCGTCCCTGGTGGTTGAGGAGGGTTGCGGGCGGCGGGACAGCGGCGAGAACAGGGTCACGTCGCAGCACAGCGCTTCGCCGAACTGTGTGGCAGGCCCAGGCTCCGTCCACAGACACACAATCACGCTCAGCGCGCCTACCAACTCGCGCGTTTACGTCCCACTACGTTTATGGACCGCTCCCACGCTAAGCTCGGTGAGGCTTCAACCCGCGGCGCGTTCCGCAAACGTCCTTATCGTGCCTGTGCAGGAGCTCCTTGTGCAGTAGCAGGATAAGCTCAGGGGCTGGAAACTGTTCCTGCTCGTTCCACGCGTGCTTTGGTAGGCTATGCAGGCTCCTGCAACGGGCATCGGTGCACAGTCCATTGCCGCTGCAATGCGTTCACGCGCGGGAGGTCTCCTGAGCGCGGCATGCGGCATGCTGCAAGCGCTAGCCGCGCTCTGTGGCTTCCCACCTCGCCGCGAGAGCCGACAAAGTCACTGCGCTCGTGCACCTCGGAAAAGCCATGCCCATTCCCGCTGCCGATGGCTAGCGATTGCAGTCATCTAGCTGACGTTCCTATGCAAATCAAAGGGGGTTCGGTCTTTGAACTACCGTTTACGGCCAGCATGTACATAAAAACGCACCGCTTGGTGCACTGACCGGCAGAATCCTCTAGATATGTGAATGTAACGAATAAGCGATAGTGCCTCCGAGATGAGAAAACCAAGGCTAACGCATCAGCAAGCCTTCACACAAGGATCTCGCGCGTTGA